TGAGTTTAGGGTTAATATTAGTTTATGTATTTATTAATTTTTTTTTATGACCTTAGTATTTGGATAATTTGGCATGGTTTGTAATCTTACATTATTTAAGTTATTTTGACTATTTTATTGTTACTTTAATGTTGGAGATATTGGTTAGTTATGAAATTATGGTGGATGGTTTGGTTGGCATTTTGTTAGTTTTTTTTATCCCTTGTAATCTTTTGAGGATGGAAATTTACTTAAACCTTATGGAGACGAAATGTTTAGATTTTGTTTCACCCCTAGAATTTGGATGATGGAATGTTGATTAGGGTTTAGTCTTAATTTAATATTTAATTATCCAAATTTTGGGACATGATAGGTACTGTGCGACAAACGAATACCCACTAGACTAAAAGGTAAGTTCTATAGAACAGCTATTAGACCAGCGATGTTGTATGGGACCGAGTGTTGGGCAACCAAGAAACAATATGTAGATAAGATGAGTGTGGCTGAAATGAGGATGTTAAGGTGGATTTGTGGCAAGATTAGACAAGACAGAATTAGAAATGAGTGTATTCGAGAATGGGTAGGCGTAGCACCGATATAAGATAAGTTGAGAGAGAATCGATTGAGATGGTTTGGTCACATTCAACGGAGACCAACAGAGGCAGTAGTGAAGAGATGCGATGCTGTAACGGTAGATTAGAGTGTTAGGGGATGTGGTAGACCTAGATTAACGTTGGCTAGCATTGTAAATAGAGATATGGATATATTTAATTTGACTAATGAAATGACCTTTGATAGGGCCACATGGAGAATAAAAATTCATGTAGCCGACCCTATTTGATGGGACTTAAGGTTTGGTTTGGTTTGTATTTTAAGTTTTCATTAAAATTTGCATCTTAAAATATTATTTAAAAAAATAAAATTATGTTAATGAGACAATAATTTCTTCAATGGTAAAATAAATTTTATGAAAACTTACATTTTTTAATTTTAGAAGAAAAAATAATAATTAAGAATATTAACCACTCATTAAAGATGTGACCAGCCAGCTTGAAACCCGCCCAGGCCTGCCCTAACCAGGCTCGAGGCCTGCCCAGTCCAACCCCACGAGCTAGACCTTGGGCCATGCTTTTTCTGGCTTGGCCTGCCCAACGTACAATGTTATTTTTAAGTTATTTAGTGGAAAAAATATAAATAATAAATAAATAAATTGTCAGGCCTAGCCTGGTCCCGATCTTAGGTCCAATCCCAAGCTTAAGGCCCAGCTTGAGGCCAGAATTTCCCTAGGGTTTGGGCTTGAGTTAAGATTTTCTGTGAGTAGGTCGACCCAATTTTTGGCGAGAGCTCGCAAGGCCCGATGGCGGGCCAAAATTACACCTCTATTTGGTTCAAGAGGTGATTAAAGCTTGTTTTAATTTGAAAGTTTGTATTAGACTGTTTGGTGCAATTTTTGTTTATAGCTTATTAGGTTGTCAAGAGGCTTTTGTTTATAGCTTTTGAAAGCTTGTTACTAAGGCTCTAAAATTTTATGAAATTAAATTACTTAAGTTGGGCCAACCCAAGTTGCACCTCTGCTGGGTCATAGGGTAAAGTAGATAGAGCTATGAATTTTATGATCTAAAAATTCATGCATTGTTAATAAATATCTTTATCATATATCTCAAAATTCAAAAATAAAAATAAATTTATAATATAAGAATTCATAAAATATTAATATATATCATTATCATATACATTTAACCATACATAGCACAGATCGAGTGTGATCTAAATTCATTTTAAATAATTTTGCCTCAAAATTTAAAACTACTCAATTAATTACCGATTATTACTTCAAAACTTATTACAAAGACTTTTTAGGCCAAGTTTGGAAACTACTTAAAATGGTCAAAAGTTACTACTAAAAAGTTAAATTTTCTCTCTATTTTTCTCCAAGTCCTCTTAAAAAAACTAAAAAAGCAATTAAAATAATTAATTCTCAAAACAACCCATAATTTACATTCTAATATACAAAAGTTAAATTTAAATGACATTATGAAAATTTTGAACATTTTAAATTTAATTGATAAGCAAAAGTATGTCCCTAATGTTATCTTAATTTTTGGGTGTGGGACCAACATTATCTACTGGAGGTTCATTTTAAATAATTTTGCCTCAAAATTTAAAACTACTGAATTAATTACCGATTATTACTTCAAAACTTATTACAAAGACTTTTTAGGCCAAGTTTAGAAACTACTTAAAATGGTCAAAAGCTACTACTAAAAAGTTAATTTTTCTCTCTATTTTTCTCTAAGTCCTCTTAAAAAAACTAAAAAAGCAATTAAAATAATTAATTCTCAAAACAATCCATAATTTACATTCTAATATACAAAAGTTAAATTTAAATGACATTATGAAAATTTTGAACATTTTAAATTTAATTGATAAGCAAAAGTATGTCCCTAATGTTATCTTAATTTTTGGGTGTGGGACCAACATTATCTACTGGAGGTAGTATGTGTACGGTGCGGGTCGATGCAATTTAGAGATAAAATAAAAATCGCATGGCAAGTGCTGAATTGACAAAATTGACATTAGAAATTGCCATTTTGTTTATAAAAAACTGACGGTTCAGTTGACAAACAATAACGGTTTTAATTTGATGGTTCGGGTAGATTGACGGTTTATTTTTAAAAAATATAATTTAAATTACAAAACTTAAATGAAAGATTTTTTTTAAAAAAAACTTAATTTATAAATTAACTAAAATAATCAAAATTAAAATAAATGTCTATTCATCTAACACACTGACAAACTAATAAAAATCCAACCGTTCAATCAAATTATACAATAACAATCTAGGGGAAACCCAATCTTTTGGTTCTTCTATTAAAAAATGCAATAGCATTATCATTAGAGCTTGCATATGCATATATAACATGCTTTTATATCAATGTCAAACTAATAAATTAAAAATCCAACCGTTCAATCAAATTATACAGTAACAATCTAGGGGAAACCCAATCTTTTGGTTCTTCTATTAAAAAATGCAATAGCATTATCATTAGAGCTTGCATATGCATGTATAACATGCTTTTATATCAATGTCAATCTTTGCGAGCAAGAATCTTCTAGAGTTTTTTTTTCCTAAAGTTTTCTAGAGTGGTGCATTGTGTAGTTGAGATTTAATGACAAGTCACATCAATTTTTCAGCATTAAATCTCAACCACACAATACACCACTTTAAAAAATTTTAGGAAAAAAACACTTTAGAGGATCCTTGGTGAATCTTTGCGGCTGCTTTTGTGTTCAATATACTTGTCTAATCAGGTAATTTTGAGGCAAAATTGCTCTGTTTGGGCTATTATATTTTTCAGCAATATTACAAATTAAAAAAAAATTACTTAGAAAATATTCAAATAAATATATTTATAAATCACAATAATTCTAAATAAGATTCACATCTTATTAATTTTAAATGTATATCATATAATTCATTTCGAGATAAAATTTTAGATATATATATATATATATTTTTTTTGGTGGTTCATAACATTTGTTTGGTGTTTTAGTGGGTGCCACAGTTGGGTCTCCAAAATTTCCAAAGTAGATCTTTTTTAGAATTTTAATTTTTTTTTTTTTATGTTGAAATTTCTCACCATTTATTTGAGATTTAAAGTAGATTTTTTTTGGTATTTTTTTTTTTTATCATTCCATATATGTTGAAATTTCTTATTATTTATTTGGGATTATCTCTTTCTCGAAGGGAAGCAGCTCCCCTCAATACTCTATGTTCTCTATACTCCGCAAGATTCTATTTTGTAAGCCCCACGAGGCCTATGACAGTGATCCAAACTGTTCATCTCATAAGCCTCAAATGGAAAAATGCTTATAAAAAATATTAGTTTGATTGGATATTGATAGACATACTAGCTAATCGCATTTTGTTTTATGACATAGTTTTAAACTAATGTTCATTTTATTAAACAAAATACGATAAATTAGTATGTCTATCGGTATTTAATAATTTTTTACATATATTTTTTTTCTTTGTTAAACAGGTTGGATTCGTTCCAATTTTTCAGGAACCGTAGATAACGGATTGGTCCTGGTTTTACCCCAATCCGGTCCAATCCGAACCATGCTCACCCCTACTTGAAAGGCATGGAGATGATATAATCTTGGGAGGAGCTGCTCACTTTTCAAATTGTTTTTTTTTTTAACCTTTCCTCCATTAATGTCTATTTGGTGGTTACTTGTTACGAATCTTATACTTTAAAAAGAATTTAAAAAAAAATTAATACATAATAATTTTGCATTTGAAAACAAGTATTTCAAGTATTTTGCTTTTCAAAAATGAAAATAGAAAATAAAAAACAAAAAACTTTTGATTGCACATTTACTTTATTTTTTCAAGTCAAGGTCTTCTCATTCTTTGAATTTTATTTCTTTCAACCTTTTCAAATTTCATCATAATGATTTGCCAACTACAATGTAGAAATGTTAGGGGAATTTTTTTGAAACTTCAATTTAGCTCTAAAATTACATCTTCAATATAACTATCAACAAACATGAATAAAAAAAATGGCTAATAATGGACACAGCTCATTGGATTGCTCATAGCAGGAAGGAAAAATTACACTTCCAAGTTCGATGGATACCCATAGGTTATTTTCATCCAACAATTCATGCAAATGTTTCATTATCTGTTTTTAAATTTTTATTTTTACTTTTAATTTGTCAATCTGTTCAGGTATGGCACGGTACCCTGCTAATTTTCTGATCCGACAAAGAGTGAAAAAAGAAGAGCCATTTTCGATAAAAGAAAATCCACAAAAGGTAATTGGGTAATAGATCACTCCCCCACTCCAGGCCCCAGTTCATTTTACAAGTAACAGATGCCCAGTAAAAATAGTGGTCATAACAAGTAGGGCTAGCAGCAACAAGAAAATCTCCGCATCAAGCTTCATACTGGAGTGCTCATTGCATCCATACTAGCCTCAAACAAATATATACAGATAAAATAAAAAGGCCCATGGTGAAAAAGTTTAAACCACAAATTTGTATTTACGTATCCATCATCAATTTTAGTGGAAACAAAGTACCTACTCTCTATTTGGGCATACAAGTAATGTTTTGAGTCAATAATCTCCAAACACCAGAGCAACGTCACGAGCAATCTAGGATGCAAAAGGCCCAATTAGTTGATGACACAAACTAGAACCTAAATTAAATTTACAATGTAAAAGGTTAACAGTGTCAAGAGTTGGCAGGTGAGCTCCTCGGAGGAGGTAGCAGCCCTTCTCTCTTGGCCATTTCATACAGGGCAATGGCCGTCAGAGCTTTTGCATCGGCTGTTGCACGCCAGAGTTTCTCATAAGCAACTATATGCACCTTGATCAACTCACCTTGTTCACGAAGACCAGTTTCTTTACCTTGCAGCTGAGTGATAATTTCTTTACCCACACGTCTCCTGTATAGAAACAGGCTAATTTCTTCATCACACCCTCCCTAACAATGGCCAAAAAACAACAAATTACTTTTACTGGACTAATAATAATGAGAATATTATTCTGGCAAGAAAATTTGGTAGAGTTGAATGGTTTTTTGTATTCTTTCATAGAACTCCACAGAGAGGAACAAGGTACAACACGGGATTCTGAAGTGCACTAAATAATGAGACACAAATTCTTCAGAAATATATACCATGCTCAACTGAGTTAAATGGTCATATCATATGTAGCTAATAAAAAACACCAGAATTAAAGTGAAAGAAAAAAGTCCGAATTTCATATTTATAATTATCATCCTTTGGACCTTTGGTACTCCGTATTGTTCACCACACCAATTGCCACCTTTTAACACCCACCACTACCAGGGGCAGTGTTACTAGAAAATACTAATACCCTAGTGATTTACGTTTTAGAATGCATGTTTCAAAATATGATACACTTTTGTTCCAAAAGAGTAAATTTTTAGCGCAGGGAAAGTGACAATTTTAGCTTCTAATTTTGTCATTTTTCCTTTCACTTGTCCTGTCCTTCTATGAATCTCTACTCAAATCCATAATCCAAATGCAGCTTATAAGTTTCTTTATGAGGACAATTGAGCAGTGGCAAATTGGAGGCTATTGAGAAAACAAAAGTATTTACTAACCATGGATGGGTTATACTGAATTGTACAAAATTCAGAAAGTTTGGGGTTCTAATTTACAAGCCCACGGGCCCATGTGATGCATATAACAGGTGTTTAATGATGATGATGATTCTTTGTATATGCTTTGGTTTGAAGCTGGAGGTAATTAGACGACCACCAACATTTATGGAATGAAATGGCTCTAGATAGAGCTTAACCGTCCTCAGTCATGATGGTTTTCTGGACTCTCAGCATGAGAAATGTATCTCTAGGAATATAACAATGTTTAATAATTTTTTTTTTAAATTATGGTTTTTACTGTAACAATTATAAAACTGTAATGGCAATTAAGAGTTCAAAATCCAAGTTACTAAAACACTAATTGCTCCTGGCACCAAACAATTCTCAAATCTTAAAAACATCCGTTGAAAAGAAAAACAAGAATGTGAAACTACATACTGGAGAAGGAAAAACTCTGCAGCCAGTTGATGGATCTAGAAAGGCTGTGAGGTCAACCACATCTTCTAGATTCAAGCGAATACCAGTCTCCTCCTCAACCTGTCATATTCATCTGATTGAAATCATAATTTAAAACTTCACTGACTCTGTGGTTCTTCTATATAACCTTAAAGACTGCAAGTCTATTCTGATAGGAAAGTAAAATGATAATAAGTATTTGAAAATGCAACTAGTGAACACAATCACCAGAATATACACATTCAGGAAAATTGCATATAGCAGACATTTCACGTGGAATAGTTTGAGCGCTAGGGTTTCAATCAAATGCACATACTGCAGCTAACCTTGAGTGGCTTCAAGTTTCAAGTACAGAACAAGATTAGCATAAATAGATGACTACATATAAAATAGTAACCATTGGATAATCATGCATGTAGCAAAAAGGAGCCTCAGCAATAACACAAGGACATTACCAACTTACTAACACATCCGGTAATACATATGATGTGTAATGTCTATGAAAATCATACATGTTCATTGCAAACCCATCAATTGTAATATCTATCTATTTGAATCACCATTCAACTCAACACCTGCCCTCCTTAAGGTGTTCTGAAAACTCATCCTTTGTTATAATCATCCATTTTTATTTGGAGAGAGAGAGAGACAGAGAGAGAGACAGAGAGAGAGAGAGAGAGAGAGAGTCCCATCTCTTTGAAGTCAAGATTATCAGTTTCATTTGAGACACTTGAGAGATAAAATTCTATATATAAATAACTAAGGATGCGTTAATATGCTGAAACAGAGATGAATGCCAAAGTCTACACCAGCTAGGACACTGGGTGTCAGGTAGGAGATCTCAGATCCTATAAGCAAACAAATGGTTCAATGTGTATTTGGACATATTATTGGCACAGAATTATCTGTGCATTTTAACTAGGTTCTTATGCCAAAGAATGACAGAGTTGTTCTTGATGATAATATCAAAATGTATCAACCACTTACAATCAACCAAAATGGTATCTAAGAAAAAGTGCATAAAAAGTAATCAAACAATGAAAAAAATTATGGCCATACAACAATTCTTTTGCACAAACTTTCAAGCAAATGAAGCCAGAAATTGTTGTTAAATGTCGTGGATTCCTAACTTGTATGGACCACCCAATTCCTCTTGATATGACCCATGAATCATAGGGTCAAACACCACTAATTTTTCTATGAACTTGTTAATAATGATTAAAAAAAACAAAAACAAAAAAGATAAAGCCATTAAAAAAAAATTTAAAAAAAAAAAACACTCAAGGAAGATACTAGATAACACCCAAATAAAACAAGGTAGGAAGAAATTTCAAGATTATAATTATGTTACTAAACCAAATCTATAAATGACAAGGATTCCTGCCACATAAAAGTAACACAAGAATCATGAAGCAAGGTGAAAAATAAAAACACAACACAAGAAAGGGATGAAAATTTTATTCTGCAAGCTATTAGACAATGACCTACTAATAAAAAGGCTTAAGTGAAGAAGCACCATGTAACAATGTTCCAGTAAGTAAGAGCACAACCCAAAATAATGACATTGAACTGGATTAACATTATTGCCACAGCATAACCCTATGCTAAACTCATCATTGCTATGTGCAGCCAACAAGATGCTCACATTCATGCACTAGCTATTTATATATGATTGAATTATTGTTTGAGAGAGAGAGAGAGAGAGAGAGACCTCCTTAACTGCTGTACCCACAAAATCACCGTTGTCACCATTCAACATTCCAGCTGGTAATTCCAAAATAAGCCTTCCAACAGGTACCCTAGCCTTAAACACACACATTCTTATAAAGATCTCCATGAAATAAAAATACAGAACACAATAAATGTCAGAATTTCTGTCTAACTCATTAGCTAACAATTATACTTGTTTTAAGAATTCTAGCACTTCATTAAGAATATAAAATAAAATACATTCATAAACAAAAACACAGTACTTACTTGCTCGGTAAGCACAGCATAAGTCTCGCCATCCGACTCCAAAAGGATTAGCACAGCTACTGCTGGCCCTCGTGCAAACACAATACCTGGAACCTAAGCATGCTTTAATTCAGTTGAAGAAAGAAAGAGAAAACGTAATAATTAAATTTAAAAAAAAAAAAGACTAGTGCAAGATCTAAATTCAGATGCAATACACTGAGATGATAAATCAAATGAATCCAAAGAAAGAAGCCATCTGCTGATGACATACCTTCTTTCCTGTTGCCTTATCAACCAGATCTGCGTTGAACTTAACAAAGCCAACACGCTTGCCAAACATATCGACCCCCTGTTACCAATAAGTGGAGATGATAAGTAGTACAAGAACAAGAATGGGAGGATGTTATACGTATTATTAGTGGCATTTCTTTCCCAGACATCACCTTACGCATCAGTAAGCACTCTTGCTTCAATATGTAAGCCAATCAATTTTTGAATAAACCCAACAAAAAAGAAAATCTTCTTGTATTTTTGAATTATGTTACATTTATATATACACATAATACATAAGCTCTCCCGGAGGCGCTCCCAACCTAGCAGTGCACCATGACAGTGCACTTCCATCCAGCCACTGCCCCCATTTCGTGCAACTAAGAGCCTCACCCTTTATAAACCCCATCTTTCACCATGCATTCATCCAGTATAGAAAAATAGTTGGATTGTGAAGTCAAAGTACTTGGTTCATGCACCGTAGTATTACGCTTAGTTCCCTTACCCTTCTTTGTGTATAGATCCCTCCACTCATTTGATGGTCCATCATTTTCCCCATCTGAAACCTCTTCTTTCTTTCTTTCTCTTTTTTTCCTTTCCATTTTCTTACAATTTTCCAACAATCTCATAGGTGGATTAACATTCCTTGGAAAACATGGGATGTTACAATCACATGCATAATTTATTTTTTATTTTTTTTTGGATAAATTGACATACATAATTTAAGTTTAAGAAAGCTAATACCCTAATTATAAATCCGATAATTTCTAAGGCTATAGTCATCAATGGATTAGTGTGAAATATTGTTCTTGTTCCTAGCCCAAAGAATTATAAAACACAACAGCAAAACACAAAAACACAATTACTAAAAAAACAAACAATAGAATGGAGGAAGAGAGCACAACTCAACCATTAAAAACAATTCGTTGGATTACTAGAAAAAATTACGGCACACATTAGTGGTTGTGAGCTTGTGACTACACTCGCAAATAAATAATACCTGAATAAGCACTTGTTTCAAAAGCATAGCCCCATTAGCCAGTATCCCAGTTTCAGTTTGTAAGTTTTTCAGCCACTGCTTGAACAAAGAGGATTCAATGGCGTTCCTACAATACCATGTACAGTTCACATAACCCAAAGGCATAGAAAAAAATTCTAATTATCTCATAAAGATGGACAGTTGTGATCAATAGAAGCCCATCCTTTAACAACAGTTTTTCTATAACTAATATTTACAAAAGAAACAAGAAAAAATTAGTGGACCAAAGAGACAAAAAGGCAACTAGGGTTTCAGAAATTCTCTGAATCAATATTCAAAAATCAAAACTTGAGTATCTTCCTTACACAATCCAATATGCATGTTCCATAACCAAATAAGGAAATTGAGAAAAAACGAAGTAAAATTAAAAACAATCCTAAACGAAATTTCCTAAAATTATTGGGCTTCATGTTGACACCTTAGTTGCATGAAGCGGGAGTGGGAGCGGAATCGGAGAATCGTAGACATTCCAAGAATCGTTGGTATGGTATAGAGCGTTTGTGTATATATTAAATAATATAATATATAAAAATATATTGTAAGATTATATATATTTTTTTTCTCTAATGATAATGAAAATATATGTTACAATTTATTTTTTTTTTAAAATGTACTATAAAAAATCATATGTTAAAATATTATAATTATATACTTTTATTAGATTTTTTTCATTTATTCCAAAATATTTATATTATTTTTTTATCTATTTATTTTAAAATATTTTTGTTAAAAATCATTTGTTTTATGGGTAAATTACAGTGATCTCCCATGAGGTTTGCCTTAATTACAGGGACTTCTCCTGTAGTTTCAAAACTTACGCTGACCTCTCTTACTTTTGAAACTAATATATAAAAAGAACATTAACAACGTTAACTTGACAGTGAAATTGACCATAATATCTTTCAACCCATTGTCTTCCTCAAAGACCTAACCTACTCTGTATTATCAGCATCTTCCTCCCTCTACTACCCATTTCTGCCATTGTCTTCCTCACACTCTCTTCCCAAACCTCTCTAATCAAAAACCCAAAACTCAAAACCCAAACCAACAATAACCCGATCAAACACACACATGTAAAGTGATTCAAGGGTTTAGGCAAGGAATCAAGCGTTCAAGACATACACTGTTATTTCGACAATTGATCAAACACAGATACTTCGACACACACACTCTCAATTAAACACAAATAACCCGATCAAACACACTCCCTTCCCAAATTGGCAGTGCATACATAAATAATTCGAGCTCGTCTTCGAGTGTGGTTTTGATTGAGAGAATGCATCTCACTGTTATTTCGTCGCCTCCGCCGATGATCGAATCAATGGCTCTCTCTTTCTCTCTCTGTGTTTACTCAATCACAATTGTTATGTGCTTGGCAAGAACATGCCCAACCCAAGTCAAATCAAGTGCAAAGATTCAAGACTATAACAAATCGAGATTGAAGTTCTAGTTGACATGAGATCTGTTTGTAATCCAGTCGAGAACTCTGCCGACCTCTCGCCTCCTTGAGCCTCGCATCTGCTCCTCATCGCATTGCCATCATCGCACTTAACCACCACTGTGATCTCTCTGTTTCTCTCTCACTCTTTCTGCAACCGTCGCAATTGCCATGATCGTGATCGTGATCGCGATTCACCATCACTGCAACCCTTGCGATCAATCGCAACCATTGCGACACCAAGCTCCTTAGATCTAGGGTTTTTGGTGGTGGTGGTGGCGGAGATGGATGAGCTGAAAAAGAGAGAGGAGTTCGGTATGGTGGTGGCGGCGGCGGCATTGGGCCAAGGTTTTGGAAGGGTAGGCGTCGAGGCAACGGAGGACGACAGGGAGAGAGAGGTAGAGCACAGAGAGAGAGAGAGAGAGAGGAAAGAGAGAGAGTACAGTGATATATACATATATATATATATATATAAGATATGTATGTTTTTTTTATATATATGGGTATATATATATGGGCATATATATATGTATGGGGGAGGTAAGGGCAATATTGGAATTTGAACAATAATTTTGGATGACATTAGCCAAATCTGTTTGAATTTGTACGGGTGGGTAACAGAAGGAGGTATTTGTATATTAGTTTCAAAAGTCAGTGAGGTATGTATAATTTTTGAAACTGCAGGAGAGGTTCCTGTAATTAAGGTAAACCTCAGCAGGGGAGGTCAGTGTAATTTACCCTTGTTTTGTTTATTTTCTTACAAAAATAAAATAAAAGAAGAGAGTGGGAGAGGAAGAGAAGAAGAATCCCAAGCCCAACTCTCATGTTTATGATGCAAATCATCTAGTAATCCAAACACTAAATAAAACAGCTCACAAGCCCAAACAAATGTTTGTATGGGTCTCAAAAAAAATCCCAAGCCCAACTCTCATGTTTATAATTCCCAACCCTAGTAGCTACTGCTTCTTCGCAGCCTGGTCTCTCTCTCTCGCCATCACTCCCATCCAGTTAGATCGGCGATTCTATGCCAATGGAAACGCGATTCTCTCATGAATCTTGCTACGAATCGCTGAATTGCGATTCTAGACTAGAATCGTCTCTCCTTCCAACGATTCTTGCTACTAATGTTGACACCTCTTGCACCTAAAATAGGTCTTCATGCCTCCACTTTCTTGATCCTCATCAACAAGACTAGCTTGGATCATTTTATTAGGGCATCTCCAACAAGCTAGCCAAATGCACACCTTTAGACATTTTAGCAAGCCTCCCCTCCATTTTGCCTCTCCAACATGCTAGCCATTGGGCTAACCATTTGGCTATCCACATTTAGAGAGTCAAACTACAATAGCCAAACATAAAAAAAACTAATTTGTTCTCCATCTCCCTTTTCTTCTTCCTCTCTTCTTGACGAGTGTAAATTTTTTTTTAAAAAAAAAAAAGATATGTAAAGAGATAATTACCCCTTTACTATTGTAGTCTACGCGAAGAATATTTGAACAATTTAAAGCCTATATTTTTAATTTTGTTACAATGTTATCTTCCGTCATGTGTCCTTAATATTTTGAACAAAAAAAGAAAAAGAAAAAAAGACTACGTATGAAATTAGGGGACCAAAGTAAAATTTAAAATTTTCTGTTTTTTTGATAGGATCATTAGTGTAATTTATTCATTATATATTTTTTTAATTCCTCTTTGGTCATGTGGTTTTTTTCTGTTCAAAATTTGAACACAAATTACAGAGAATCACTTTGTAACATAATTAAAAATGTAAAATTTAAATTGTGAAAATTAAAACTAGCAGAACCAAAATAGATCGAAATTGTTTACAGGACCTGTAGAATTAATTACAAGAAATAACATGAATGCATACTCTGAGAGAGAGAGAGAGAGAGAGAGAGAGAGTTGCCTGAAGTCGGAAGTGGAGACACCAGGGGCAGCGACGACCTGGACGGGTTGAGAGCGTTGAATCGGCAAATGGATGATGTGAGTGAGTTGGGACGAAGATGACTCGGCCGACATTTTCGTACTGATGGTTCTTCTTAGTGTTTGTCTGTGAATATTATAAAGACAAATCGGAGTACACGAGACGGCCAATTTCTTGACCTTCAACACAGACATGGAAAATTTTACAAGACTCATCTTTTTAACGCCTTTTACGGTACAAAAATTTCGACCAGTGAGTCTAGGGTTCGGTTCTGTCCGTAATTTTATTCAACTCTGCACACGTGTCAAGAGCAAAGAGAAAGCACGTACCACATAGGCGAGCGGAGAAGATGCGGCGGCGACCGGCAAGGCTACTAGTGGCGGCGGCGGCCACCGGCAAGGCTAATAGAGGAGGCGGCGGCGATGGCGATCGGCGTGGTGGAGGAGCAAGAGGTGAGACAAATGTTGTTCACCAATCTGTGAATACGACGAGATGATTAGGCTCCGTCTGGAAAGAAAAAAGTTGGGTTTTTTTTGTTTTTTTTGGTTTAAAATAGTTAAAAAAAAAAATTTTTGATTTAAAATAGTAAAAAAAAAAAATTTAACCTAATAAAATAAAATATTATATTCAATCTATAATCATTACATTTTTTTTTTCATAAAAAAGTCAAAAAAAACCAAAAGCCTTCCCAAACGAAACTTTTTAACTTCAAGCTAAAATAGCCAAAAAATCAAAAACCCAACCGGTTCTCCGAACAAATAGAGTGTTAGAGCATCTTTATCAGTTATTCAAATTTTACTCTCAAATATTATTAAAAAATTCATTTTCTATTTTTTAATAATTACTTTTTTATTTATTTCTCCCAACAAATTTCATATTCCTTCTCTATTCTATTAAAATAATCTTTTTAATTACTTTTAGATTTGAATTTTTTTATTAATAAAATAATGAAAACACATCAAAATCAAACATCACCACCAGCATAGCAGTAGTGAAAAACAAAGCAGAGCGGTCGATCAGTCGCAGTAGTGAAAAACAAAGCAGAGCGGTCGATCGGTCGGACGATCAGTCGGTTGACTGGTTAGGTTAATTTTGGACATTTTTTTTCTTTAGTTACATGGCACTCATGGGACATCCGGGAGGACATCCGACTAGACAATCCTTTAGTTTGTTTACACACCTTAAACGAATAAAATAACAATTTATGAGATATGAGAGAGCTACAGTGACTCTCTACAAATAAGAAGTCACTGTAGCAATACTTATATTTAGAGGGGTTGGACAAGGAAATTGTTGAGGGTGTGTTTTGACAAAAAAAACCTCCTTATTTTGACTAAGTAAAATAATGGAAGAGATAGAGGTGCTCTTAGGGTTTAATTTGAGAATTAATTGTGTGTGAGAGTGTATGTAAGAAAATATGGTCGGAAGCTATGTTGTATTTCTCTATATAGGCATATATATATTTAAAAAAAAAATAAGCAAGTCGGGTCGGTTGGAGTAGGCTGGCTGGCTACCTCCAACCGCTATCTGTGTAGACTCACAAAGCTTGGACATCCAATTCACCTGTCAAAAACTAAAAAAAAAGAGAGTATGGTTTGGCTCGATTCGTTTCGGTTTTAGCGGTATTGTACACAATCCTAACTTGTAATTTAAGCCAAGTATATTTAAACAATTTGCAACTTATATTTTTAGTTTTGTTACAATGGTATCCCTCTATCATATGTCCTTAATATTTTGAACTAAAAAAGAACTACTTATGAAACTAGATAGCCAAAGTAGAATTTAAAAAAAAAAATTAGAATACCATTTAGTGTAATTTAATCATTACATATATTTTAATTCCACTTTGCTCATGTCATGTGATTTTTTCTGTTCAAAATTTTAAGGTAAATTACAAATACATCTCTTGAGGTTTGTTTGAAATACAAATTGCTCCATGTGGTTTGGAAAATTACAAATATCTCCCAGTCAGAATTTTTTATTTAAGAGAATTAATTGAAAAATTGAAATTGCTAACTGTTCACCTATACAATAATAAAATTGTCTGAATTATTAATTGAAATAAAATTTTAACATTATTAAAAACTGTTAATTAACTTGATGATTTATTAAAAAAATGACCTATTTATTATGAAATTATAAATCTTAGGAGGCATAATGTAATTTCTAAAACTACAGAAATAATTTATAATTTAAGTAAATCTCATTAGGTATATTTGTAATTTATTCAAAATTTTAACACAAATTATAGATGATCACTTTGTAACAAAATTTAAAAAATGTAAAATTTAACTTGTGAAAATTAAGGTTACGGGAACTAAAGTGGAACTTAATTATAAGAAATGACATGAATCAAAATTGCCTGAAGTCGGAAGTGGAGACACCAGGCAACCCTCATTGTAGGGCATTTCATTGCTTGAAGGTGGCGTTAGGGGGTGACACGTGAACTGATGAAAGCTGATTAGAAGAAGGGAGGGCCCCATTTGCCGAAGGGAGGGAGGGATCCCACTTGAAGTGATGAAAGTTTCAGATTTGTTTGATTTGTATATCAGAATATAATTTTTGAGAAATTTTTTTAAAATTTTGCTTAGTTTAAATTGTTAAAAAAAAAATTCAAAATTATTTTATCTCTCCTACACATCAATCAATTACTTTTTCTCTCTCTTTTCTCATTCTCAATCATTTTTTCTCTCACACACATTTACTCAACTATAAAAAATGTTGGGTAGCTCGAAATTGGAGGGGACTTGAATGCCCCGAATCCTGGTAGTGCTAAAATGATATCGTTTTAGAACCTTTTTTTTTTTTTCCCCTTTCTTCCTTCCCCCTCTCTTTCCTTTCTGAAACTGGTTTGAGAGAAAGAGAGAAATAGAGAGGCGAGAGAAAGAGAGAAGCAGGAAGAAAGTAGAAGAAAAAAAAAAGAGGGGGAACAAAGGAATCAGGTCGCGAACCACTCGAACCACCACAACCCAACCCAACACCATAGACAGAGAGGCCGAAGCTAGATGTTCGACTGTGGTTGTGGGTGTGGTTTTGGTTTTGGGTTTGGGATTTGATTTTGGATTTTGATTTTGATTTTGATTCTGGGTTTTGATTCTCAGTTTGGATTCATAAAAGAATAGAGAAAGAAGAGGAAAGAAAAAGAGAGGGGGCAGAGAGAAAGAGAAGACTAAAGACGAAGAAGAGAGGGAAAGGAAAAAGAAAAAAAAAATTTGATTGTAATTCTGAGTTTGGATTTAGAAAGAACAGAGGAAGAAGAGGAAGGAAAAAGAAAAGGAAAAAAAATTTGGTGCCAACCAACGGGCCACTTCACTTTCAAGTTACCAAGCATTGTTGTTTTAAAATATATAACCAAAAAAAAAAAAATTAAAATTCTCTCCCCAATTTTTTTTTTTAAAATTTATCTCAAAATACAAATCAAACACATCCAAAAGCCCCTCTGGGGTTGGGCCCTTCCTGCGGAATGTTCCTAACTTATCTTCCAAGCAGTTCATATTTTTTTCTAAAATAGATTATGTCGAAAATCTTTGAAATTGAACTTGTTTAGTTTTAGTTTTTTGAAATACTTTTGAGAAAATTCTATTTTTTTATTTTTTGTATTGATTTTTTTTGATATTTTAAGCAATTTTTTTAATTTTTAGATACAGCTAACACAAATATACTTAAAAAGTATAATTTTTTTTAAAAAAAATCTTTAAAAAATTAACTAAATACCAAAAATATTTAAAAAAAATACAAAATTCAATATATTTTTACGTATTTTTGTGTATTTATTAATTTTTTAAAATATGTTTTTACAAATATTTTACTTTCTAGATATATCTAAGTAAGGTGCATTTAAAAAAGTAAAAAAAAAAACTTAAAATTTTAAAAATATTCACTAATAATAAAAAAAAATATGAAAAATAAAAAACTTAATTTTTAAAAAACTTAACTCAGAAAACTAAAACCAAAAGTCTATGCTTATGGAACTCTATGTTATTTGGTTTAATTTTTTATTTTTTTTATTTTTTTTTGGTGATAAAGACATGGATTAAAAAGTTATTGAATAAGTTGTCAAAAAATTAGTATTGAAGAGATTAGTGAGCAGATAAGTGGCATGTATACAAATAAGTGACATTTGAACAAATAATTAGACAAATATATAACACGGATATATATATATATATATATTATATATATATATGACATTAGATGACATTTGGACAAAGAGGCAAATAAGTAAGATTTAAATAGATAGGTGCCACTTTTGGACCAATAATGTCCTTTGATAAAAAAAAAAAGTTTGGGTCTATTAGTTGAAAAGTTTCAGAAATGAATTTAGCCTTAGTGCTCTTTGTTTGTTTTTTTTTTTTTTGATTAAATCTTTAAATTAAATTTTTATTCAATTATTTTTTGAGTTTCTACATAAAATCATGGATTCGTTTAGTTTAATTTTAGAATTCTGATTTGAGTGTGGATTGTGATTTAAGTGTAGAGTTATAAATTGAATTTTGAAAAGAAAAAATCTATTTGATTATGAGTTTGAGAAGAGTTTGAAAAGAGTTTTGAGTTATGAAAAGAGTTTTGAGTTGTATTTTGAGTTTGAGATTTTGAATTCTGAGTTGTATTTTTGAAATTTTTAGATTTATTTTTAAAAATATTTAAAATTCTTAAGACAAATTTATTTTTTTATTTTAAATATATAATTGTTATTTAAATATTTTATAATTTAAATTTTAAATATTTTATTTATTTTGTAAATATTTTTAAATTTTTTAATATTTTAAACTCAAAATACAACTACACACTCAAATTATAACCAAATACATAACTCAAAACTCATAACCAAACTCTTTTAAAAATTCTATTAAAAAAAATTTCAAAAAAAATTTTAATTTAGTCCTTTAAAATTATTTTTATTTTATATTTTTCGAAAAATATTGTTTTCAAAATATTTTGTTTATTTTTATTTTTTCAATTTTTTTTTATTTTTCAAAAAATAATTTTGTCATTTTTTAAGTATTGGCCAAATAATTTGTTATGATTTAGATATAACGATCCATTTTTTTAAATTTTAAAAAATTAAATATTAAAAAGTAAAAAATTAAAAATATTATAAAATAAAATAAAGTATTTAAAATAAAAAAATAAAAAATATTTAAAATAAAAAATAATTTTTTTTTAAAATTTTTAAATATTTACAAAATATATTTAAATATTTTTAAAAATATTAGAACACAAATTTATGAAAATACAGTGCACATTAAAATAAACAAATAAATAAATAAATATTTACCATAAAAAATAAAATTAAGAAAATTTTTAAATATTTTAAAAAAATAAATTCAAAAAACTTCAGAATACAATTCAAAACTCTTTCCAAAATCCATAACTGAATAAATTTTTTCTTTTCAAAACTATACTCAAAACTTATAACTCAAAATACGACTCTACACTCAAATCATGACTTTAAAAATAATTTTAAAAAGCAAAATAAAAAAATATTTTT